CCCTCCTGGGATTGTTCTTCCTGTACCCTCCTGGGATTGTTCCTCCCTGTGGAATTGTCACGCACCTGTACCCTTCTGGAAATGTTACTCCTATAAGCTCGTGTGATTATTTCTCTTGTATTCATTTTCCCATTAATTACTTCTCCACCATCTCAGGTTTGTTCTTTCTGTATTTCCATAAATTGTTATGTATTGTATTATCCCATGGCCATTTTTGGCACGAAATCGATCCTTCTTTATATTAGTCTTGGGATTGTTTCTCCTGTAACCTCATACATGGGTCTGGCCCCTTCTAGAATTAACCCTCCCATACCCCTTTGATTGCTATTCTAATCACTCAAAAATTTCCTTCTCTTAACTTACCTTGCTGTACAAGGTTCCATTTTCGTTAATTGCCAGGTATCGACCAGATTTTAGACCTTTGATTCTTACAAGACCCATCCCCACTGATTGGAACTCGAGTTTAGCTGAAAGAAGAACAATGGAAGGGTCGAAATGTGCTTGATGAAAACTAACTGTCACAGACTAGTTTTTGACCTCGCGAGGCAAGGRATCATTGACGTAAAACGTGCGCATTCGTTCTTTTCCTTCTCTCAAGCAAAMGTTGGTCAGCYTATGTTCACAAAAAATATACCTCTAAAAGCAGGATAAGTTAACATGCATGATAAGTTAACGTGATTCTTAGCTGAGACCGGACTTTGTGAGTGCTTTGATCCAAAGCAATAATGATTTTGCTTTAATTTTTGCTTTAATTTTTTTTCGATAGTCCCGTCATTCTAATCGTTCAGTTTTTCATTTCTTTTAAGTATCTTATTATAGAAACCTGCATTACTGTATTATTTCCCAAAAATTTCATAGCATTTTTTTTGACGTCTTCACTGAGATCTTTCAAGCATGCGCCTGCCTCTGAAATCTTCACATAATAGTTTGCATTGGGTAATTTCTTTGGGTTTCTTTCAAGATTTGCGAATCATTTTGACAAATTCTTAGTTTTGCGACTTAGCTGATCCATAAAATCGTCTTGCTGTTGGGTACCAACTATTCAACGACCTTCGGTCGTGTTTTCCCAAGCACTTCCGAGAATTCTTTCGCAGTGATTGGATGATTAGAGGTTTTCATTGTCATTTAAACTGTGCTGGCACTATCACGACCCACTTACAAATCACAATTATAGTTTGTACCAACATAAGGACACCAARCATTTAGGCAGAACTATTGTCAAAAATATGTGATCTATTTCGTCCGTCATTGACTTTAGGTGATGCCAAAGGCGTACGTAAAAAGTTTACACAGAGACGCGATGTCTATCCTTCATTGACAGTGAAAATGTCAATTTAAAYGGTACTTTATACTCGAGTTTTGATTTGCGGGTTTGGCTGGAGTAGTCAGTGCGCTATAAAGTTCCTTGACGTTCTTTATTTCATGGCGGACTCAAACATTGCACATCTATCCAGACTCTTATTAACACAAACATTGGAGTAATTTGAGTGTATCTTTTCATTGCGTMTAATTTTCAAGAGTTATGTTATTTAGAATAGCACTTTAAGTATACGAGTGTCTTGTTTGTTGTTTAGTCAGTTTACATCTAAGAGTCATTCGCAAAAATTCTGAACGCTAACATAGTCATTATATCAGGGTGCATCATGTGTCACTTCATGTTTTTTTTTCTCTCTTTTTCAGTAAAACAGAACACAAATCATTCGGATACGTTGGGATTATATTTATTGAATGCTATTCAATCATAACCTGTAGTTTTTTGACAAACTAATTGTTCCAGATCTAAATGACAACAACAGCACTATTTTTTAAATGTAAGCTACGGTAGCGGCCAGAATTTCTTCAAATGACTCTACTTAATAATTTTACTTAAGAARGCGAATGTTTATGATACATACTGAAGGGATCGTTGTATCTTGTTGTTCCTCCGACATTTCCACTTGATGTTATTTTCAAGATAAAACCATTTTTACAGTACAACTGTCCTCTTCTACGGTAAGTGATTTTCAAACCTCTCCGTACCATTCTTAAAAACGACAGAACCTGCCAATGGAAAAACATCAGAAGTACATAACATAGTATATATACATAGTCATGTACTTCCGAAAACATCGAGTACATTAAAGCTGCGACTACACGAGGCGATTTTTCGCTTGCGCAGGCGACGCGACTTTCTCAAAATCATGATCACCAGCGCATGAAGTGGCTACACGAGCGACAATGATGTATCGATAAAAAATCCTCACAAATACTTATTTGAATTTCGATAAAGAGGTATATGGAATACAGCTCAAATTCGATGTTCAGGTTTAATCGCATCCGAACGAAAATGGCGTCGTCTGCGCAAGCGAAAAAAATCGCTCGTATAGCCGCGGCATATTTGTGCATTGTAGCATTGTGCATTATAGCATGTGGAAGTMTTCAACTCAACAGACTTCAATGATTCATTCGATCACAACTTGTTCAGTTGCAAAGACATAAAGACAGCAAGAAATGTCACTTTGCATCAGTACAAAAGTTTTTACTATTCCAGCGAAGGATTTTAATCTTACAAGTTAGATTTTATTGCACGACACTTTGTCATAAATCTATTTGGAGTGCAAAAAAAATCATGCAAATACGATATATGTAAATGACTTTGCTGTTGTCTTTACATCCGTATTTAAAACTGAACAACGTTACTGGGATTGACTGCATTGACATGTATGGATGGAATAAGAAGTTGTAAGTATGATGGTTTTGCTTGTTGATATTGAGGATCGAATCTCACTGGTTCCGGTGATTCTAGTGATTAGACAAGGTTACTCCCAATTATGTGACYARCCTGGCTATTGGCACTACACTCTTCTTAATGTAATTACGACTTTGCTTCTTAAAAAATATTAAAAACGAACACACTATGTATTCTGTTTAAAAATACAAACACAGTTTTACAGCGCAATGAATCCTATAGTCCATTAAACGTCTGCCGCAGCATTGGCCCGGGATGTACACGTTAGAAAAAAAAATATTGTGATTGACCCAGTTGACTGTAGTACCGTACCTTTCGTGGACTTCCAAAAGGTATTCTTGTCGGGAACTTCATCGTGTGATGGTTATTAGTTGAGCTGTGCTCCATACAAGCAGAACAAGAGCATATAGTACTGCGTCTCGTACGGTATTGCGCCTTTGGTTGCTGATGTTCAAAGTTGATAGTTTCGTCTTGGTTAGTAGAGGCAAATGACAGYGATGACCCCATCACGAGGAAAATAGCTGTGCAGAGCCAAAAAACTCTGCTGAAAGATGTCTAGAAGATAAAACAATTTTGAAGGTGYGTTATATTTTTCCAAATATGGGAAAAGCCTTTTTCAAAGTTTATAAAATTTGTATATACACTTAAGCCGTGATATAGAAGTATGTAGTACAAATAAAAAACATATAGCTTGTTTGCGGCAGATTTTTCTCATAGATAATTCTGCAATCTAACAAAACTGAAAAGAAGAGCAAAATCATAAAATCTGAGGAAACTGAAGGGAAAAATGYTCCCTTTTATATTTTATATAATGGGTTTAACACAAAGAAAACGCGATGTCGGTCACAAGATATTGTCCTACAACTGCTATAAATATCCTGGAAGTAACTGTATTTTTTACTTTCTAGAGAGCCTATTATTTTCGTTGAAAAGAACTTTACCATKCAGGGTCATCATTAAGTTTTCAAAAATGGATAAAATCCGTATCTCCGTCGGTCAAGTGCTATCTTCCATCATATCTTATGATAACACCTTCTGGGCAAGTCTGATCAGGTCTGAATGCCAAAGAATTAAAGGTGTCAGTTTTGTAATAGAGGTGTAAATCATTTAGTTTAGTTCGAATGAACAGGCCTGGGTTCCTTCCCAGTCTCTAGAAGGAGACAGACTCAATATAAAGTTCCAGAAACTTCTTTACAATGACAAAAATATTATTCGCTATTTATCTCAAGTTAAGAATTAATATTCTTCCTGCAAATATTAAAAACCTTTTTATGCAAAAGAAACCCTTTGTTATAACGATAACGCTGTGCCGTTGATCCCTTCTCAGTACATTTTCTATCCTTGTACGATGTATTTTCTAGCATTTGATCAAAATTGATTCTTTTACGAGCAATCGTCGAAACGACTAGTTTGTCGCAAAATTATCGCTTATCCGATCTTCCGATGTTAAACATTAGCTTAACTTAAGTATTTCAAAATGCGCACAATCCTAGCGGATCAGATACAGGGATGGTGGATCAGTTTTGAGGATCACTTTCAATATCCCACTTTGATCCCTAAAAATGAACAGAATGAGCTGGTTTTAACGAACAAGTAACTTTGAATCTTAATAAAAATGGAATATTCACTGCAAACTTTATCTTGCTTCTTATCGGACTATGTGAGCTACAGTCTTTTCCGTAATCTACATAAACTATATTGACATTGGTTGATTTAAAGTGTTTCACCCCCTTCAAGAATCCTGAGCCGCCACMATTAGTTTGAAATTGCGATAATTCAAAACAAATATTCTGACCTTGAACTTTCTGGCTGAAAACAAAAACTCATGCTTTCATGAAAAAAAAAAACACATGAACAAATGCGACATGAAAAATCGAAAAAGGCATGAATCTAATAAAGAGATATGTGATTGGTCGATTGAGTGAGAYTTAATGTCTACAGTGTATTAACTAAGACGGTCCCAATGCCCTTTATATAGGCAGGCCCTGTTGAATTTCCTTATTACGACAAACCCATTTCAATGAATTGGAATACRATTTTGAAGCAAACTTGTCAATTCCTCTGATTTAGTCTATTTTTAAGTCGTTTTTCGTGAATTAGAAATTCAACATAGTCGATTCAGCCGCTGTTCTACCGGAGGGAGTGTTTGTTTTGATACGACTCGAAAAAAAGTTCAAGTSATTTAACTCAAAATAGAATTTGAATACAACAATGTTATGGCGAGTAACAGAAARAGARTCTTCCAGCGTTCTGCCATACTCGCCGCTGTTATAGTAATTACTGACAAACTCAGCCTAACAGCCGCCATTTTTCAGGAAACTCTCTAACTTTATCAAATTATGTTGACAACACTCCGCTGTTTAAGAGCATTGTTTGGGTTATTTAGTATCCATCGAGATCCATTCATTGTGATYTTTCAAAAACTTGTTTTAGAAAGTGCTTGAGAATGCTTGAAATCAGAAAGTTGTAAATACACTATRATGATACTTACSAGATATTTCATACTTGCGTCAAGTGATTTATCAAGCCACAACAAGCGTGATATTGAAATCTCAATGGCTTTATATCAGTCAGCTTCTTCCGTGAAAGGCAGCGTGTGTTGTTGGTTTTTAAGATGCACTTAGTTTGCGTGGGACGGGAACGTCGTAGTGTCATTTCTACATTGGGCAGTTCACTGCACTTCACACCTTCAGATTTGAAAGCCCTCAATTATACTTTATTGTATTCTGGTTTTATCAAAAATAGGRCTGCGCACGTATTTTGTATCAACAAAAGATCGAAAACTATTGTTCAATTCAATACCATCTATTTTAGGATATTTTCGCGCCTTTGTTTGGATTTATTCGAATGCGCCAACAGATTTAGCTACTTTGTGTTGGCTTCCGCCCCTTATCTCGAAGACTGCCAGGAATGTGTTAGGTATTAAACTTTAAGAAGACTATCTTTGTCTCACACACGTGAAATTATTTGCGTCAGCATTTAACGACCCGAACGATCTTTTTGTAACACAGCTAATTAGTTCGACTGACTTAAGTTTTAGATTCAAATGAAGTGRGAAAGTAAGGATATTTCTGKTGTTTTTCCTGGCAAGTTACCCCTCAGTTTCAAAGTTATGTTGGTGATCGGAATAAAATAGRAACGATTAAAAGAAGACTCAAATTTAAGCTTAAATATTTGCAAAGCAATCCAATTTGTATATCTATATATTGATATTTATACATATCATTGACAAACGATTTTAGAAATTGTTGGTGTCAATGTGCCAATTAGTAGTTTCAGTGGTCAAACGATTTTCTTTGATCGACCGACAATCACTTCACAAATATTGACTCACACTTTACACGAAAACACAGGCAACTGGACAGAAGATTTTGCTTTTAAATTGTTGGAATTTTACGACACGATTCGTTGAAAAGCTTGAAGAAAAAGAACCAGAAGCCAAGAGGCCAAGAAAACTAACCTGGAGGAAAAAGACTCTCCTCAAATGGTCAGTTATAAACGTAATGTGGARTTGAGAAAAAGAAGACGACTGTCGAACAAAAAGACTGCGACAACAAAAAAGAAAACATTTTCTGACATGAAAAAGAAGAAGAAGAAGAACTAGTAGAAGACTACAGCAAGAATTAATGCCTTGGAACTTCTTACTAAGATACTRTTAGGATATAGAGTGCTTGTGGCCTTTTCTCGATGGTCGTGTCACAAACGATGGTATGAAAAATGTTAAGCTTTTAGAATGAAGAGAAAAATTAAAAGAACTAAATTCTTCAAAGAGCTGTCAAGTTTAGMGATGTAATRCTCYACAGAATAAATGAGTCACAAAGMCTGCGCAGCCACCCACACGACTTGACAGGAATTATGGGAAATGACAAAATKAGTTCCGGTAATAATTTCAAATGTATGAATTAACTAAAACGCGTGTGGTAATAACTGGTCATCGAGGTGTCATCTTCTTACATCCCTTCTCTTGAACAACTCAACAAGCCATCTCCTGTCTTCTCTAATGGGCTCTCTGGATCGATAATCTTTGTGTTTCGTGTGTAATCGGCACCCGGACAACTCATGACTTGAAATCCTAATGTAAATTGCTGATTCATTTGATAATTTTTATACTATATATTAAAATGCTTAATGTATATAGGATAATAGCCTCTGTATACAAAACGTTTAAAATATTTTGACACGATGATGTTGCTGTAGGTTTTAGTTTGTCATATTCATTACTCCCATAAGCTTGCACGGTACTCTTTCGTCAATGACAGCCATGTGGAAATTCAATTTGTGTAAGAAGAGGACAAGGTAGACTAATATTTTGAACTGTAGAGTCTTGCATGTTCCGAGCGAAATGCAAATGATACAATAAAGAGAGTTTTTTTTCCCTGAATGTCGGAACGTGTCGAGATTCGACGACGATTCGGTTCGTTGAAACGAAGGCATTATATTATTTTTTATGAGGGCTTTCTGTACATGCCTTCATCTTGAGGGAGATGCATACAATGTTTATTTTTTTTTCCAGGTTTGAAGAACGTATTGAACGCGTTTGCCCCAAAACAYTAAAACCCTAGCCATGACTCACAACTTGGAAGCAAGAAAAAGAAGAAAACCTTTTGCTGTCGATAATCAAAGCTGCGATAAGAACAATAATGTTGTAATTTTTTCAACAACGAAAGAGCCAAAATTAAAGTGTAGGTCCTTGCCGACATAACTGTACTTCGTATGTTTTTTTAGGTTCTGATTCAACCAGTATAAAAATACTATCATCCTGAGCTGCACATGGCTAGGAATGTAAGAATTATTGTACTATCAATTTWTATAATTTCACGGAAGCAATGGACTAGATTCTGCAACATTATTCCACCAGATGTTTACAAACGGGGATGGTAAAACGACGAAGCCACAAATTCTATGTAAACATTCAACCAATGAGGAAGTCGACAAATTTCGTGTGATTACTTCAAATGGCGGACTTCAAAGACACCGCGTTTGTACACTGTTAAATTTTCCAAATTAAGCTTCGGATGTTTGTGGTATTGTCAAATATTTAGAATCCAAAAATAAAGCCGTTAAAGTTTACTCGAGACATGAAATTGTTATTTCAGTATTTTTAAAGAGAAATCCTGTACAATTTGAATAGCGGAAGACGTCCCAAGTCAGTCTCGTGTTTCGTGTCGCCAAAGGGATYTTTTGTTGCTTAGAARCAAAACAAATGGCCCAAAAATGATTGATTTTATCATTGAAAATCAACGCTAAAAGGTCTGATGATWTTTTTAATATCATTAAAATATTTTTTTCTGTATATCGTGACCCAGGCTTGATTGTCAACTGCGATGTCTTGCGTGGAGTCTACTCTCAATTGATATACAAAAAATCTACTTTATCATTCTAAAAGCTACCTACTGTTGTAGCCTAAATAAACCCGGCAGGAGATAGTTAAAATAAATTGACGTTTAAGCACGAAAGAAGAGGAATGTCCCTTAAAAGTTTTCGCAACTGCTTACGTCACTTCGCGACCAAATATTGGCTCAAATGATATCGGGCCTTTATGTGTGCTTTATTGCGCTAAAAATAAAGTTTTCTGAGCTATAAATATTAAGATTAATTGAAAGGAAGAAGTACTTATATTTTCTTGTCATGCTTGTTAAATACATTACATAAGAACACTTGCGTGAGAGATTATTCGTATTGCGTCAAATTACACGTTTTGTTTTCAATGGAGACTTCCGTGTGAGGTCTGTGAGTTGTCGATACATCATCATTTTCTTTTCTTTTCTTTTCTTTTCTTTTCTTTTCTTTTCTTTTCTTTTCTTTTCTTTTCTTTTCTTTTTTCTTTTCTTTTCTTTTCTTTTCTTTTCTTTTCTTTTTTCTTTTCTTTTCTTTTCTTTTCTTTTCTTTTCTTTTCTTTTCTTTTCTTTTCTTTTGGTTTTCATTTCTTTTTTCGAATATACAGATACTAGTACATTTGTAAGTTTAAAATTTGAATTCCTTTCTGCCAAACTTTTGATTCTGTGTCATTTATTTTTAAAAGTTTTGAAGCTAATGCCTTTACTAGGTAGAGAGTGCAAATTCACTGATGAAAGCAAATTTACGACTCTGGACCAATCAAAACCCGCGTACAAATGCCGGAAGCTCTACATTATCAGACAGTCACGAGATAGAAACTCACTGACATTGCGCAATTGAAGCAACTTCTTTTTCTTCAAGAAAATTACACAATTAAAATACTCGATTCTATGTATTGTATTAATGCGTAGATGTATTGCTGTACATGTAAAATGGTTTTAATCTTTCAAAGGGGGAAATGAGTCATGAAAAATTATAATATCAAATTATACAGAGTTCTTCGTCTCGCCCCCTCACTTAATAACAAGTGGACACATTTTTTTTGCTTTCTTTGTATACATAGATAAATATTGTTCCTCTTGGCTTTCGGCACATTTCTAGAAATCCACGAAAAATTAATGACCTTTCACGAATTTGGCTGTCGATTTGGAATAGCATATTCTCGCTATATATTAACACCACTCCATGACATACAACGCTAATGTATGATTATTTTTACGAAATATCATATAATTGATGTACTTAAAAAGTCTGTTTGATATTTGTAAAATTCGAACATCTAAACATTCGAACATCATTATGAAACTTATATAAAAAATCTTTAACATGTTTTATGGTGCATTTAGGTGGGTCAAGGAGGAATTTCAAGTTCGTATGACTCATCAAAACTGATCATGCTAACTGTCCTAACAGAATATGAAATAAGTGTACTCGCTTCGCCCACTCTTTAAAGCCAATAAAACAATACAAGAAACAAGTTACATACAATGTTTGATCCCAGGAAAGTTTCYAATTGCAGCCTTTTGTGTTCAATTCCCACCAAGGAATATCACACTTTTTTGTTCAAATTAATTGATTATAGGGTATGTAGGAGGTCGAGGGGCAAAACTATGGTATGTGCTTCARCCTTTTTTACTAATATCCTTATCGGCAACATGTTATTGAAAAGTGCAATATTGAGACAAATGCGGATGAAAGATTTGATAACGATTTTTATGATATCAATTTGTCGAATGTTATTTTCTCATACAGGAACTTCTTTTCACTTTTTTGTTAAGACAAATTTTAACTTTGAAACAGAAACGAGTAAAATGGCGCGATTTGATTATTGCCGCGGGTACTCATTAAAGTTTGTGACCTTCGTTTTGACCCCGGGACGACCTTGCCACAGAAACTTTWCAACTTTCATTGGCTTATATACCATGAGACGAAACATATTCGCATTGGTTGAAAAGTTAAAGACCATTTCATACTTAAGAATATCATAGCGTTATGATTGCCATGGGAGCCGACTTAAACAGAAAAAATTCACCCAAGGCAGGGTCTAGTTAAAACAAATGACCGAAAAATTGCGCGGGAAAATCGCGTGGAATGATTTCCGGTCCATCATTGAATTCTTTCAGTAGTTCTCAACTTGGTGTTTTGTTTCGTTTGGATAAAAGTAATAAGGAAGTAGATCCTCAGTCACTATTCATCAKAAAACAAGCTGCGTTTAATGCTTGATAAAAGTATGTCTCATTCGCCTGTCACCGTCGGCTAGTGAGTGG